GACCAGTGTCACTGACCTGTATAGTATGCAAAGTCATGGAGAAGATTATCAGGAGAGTGGTTGAGCACCTGGAACGGAACAAGATTATAAACCACAACCAGCACGGATTTATGTAAGGCAAATCCTGAGTCACAAACCTTCTGGAGCTTTTAATGACAAAGTTGCAGAAGTAAGACACGGGAGAGAGGGGTGGGTTGATTGCATTTTCTTGGACTGCAAGAAGGCCTTCGACACAGTTCCTCACAAGAGATTAGTGCAGAAGCTAGAGGATCAGGCGCGTATAACAGGAAGGGCACTGCAATGGATCAGAGAATACCTGACAGGGAGGCAACAACGAGTCATGGTACGTAATGATGTATCACAGTGGGCACCTGTGACGAGCGGGGTCCCACAGGGGTCGGTCCTAGGACCAGTGCTATTTTTGGTATATGTGAATGATATGATGGAGGGGATAGACTCAGAGGTGTCCCTCTTCGCAGATGATGTGAAGTTAATGAGAAGAATTAAATCAGATGAGGGCCAGGCAGGACTTCAAAGAGACCTGGACAGGCTGGACACGTGGTCCAGCAACTGGCTTCTTGAATTCAACCCTACCAAATGCAAAGTCATAAAGATAGGGGAAGGGCAAAGAAGACCGCAGACAGAGTATAGGCTAGGTGGCCAAAGACTGCAAACCTCACTCAAGGAGAAAGATCTTGGGGTGAAGCTAACATCGAGCATGTCTTCGGAGGCACACATCAACCAGATAACCGCTGCAGCATATGGGCGCCTGGCAAACCTGAGCATAGCGTTCCGATACCTTAGTTAGGAATCGTTCAAGACACTGTACACTGTGTACATCAGGCCCATACTGGAGTACGCAGCACCAGTTTGGAACCAACACCTGGTCAAGCACGTCAAGAAATTAGAGAAAGTGCAAAGGTTTGCAACAAGGCTAGTTCCGGAGCTCAAGGGTATGTCCTACGAAGAAAGGTTGAGGGAAATCGGACTGACGACACTGGAGGACAGAAGGGTCAGGGGAGACATGATAATGACATATAAAATACTGCGTGGAATAGATAAGGTGGATAGAGACAGGTTGTTCCAGAGAGGGGACACAGAAACAAGGGGTCACAAATAGAAGATGAAGACTCAGACGAGTCAGAGGGATGTTAAAAAGTATTTCTTCAGTCATAGAGTCGTCAGGAAGTGGAATAGCCTAGCAAGTGATGTAGTGGAGGCAGGAACTATACATAGCTTTAAGACGAGGTATGACAAAGCTCAGGAAGCAGAGAGAAAGAGGACTAAGTAGCGATCAGTGAAGAGGCGGGGCCAGGAACTGAGTATCGACCCCTGCAACCACAATTAGGTGAGTACACACACACACACACAACGCTGGTTAGGTTAGGTTAGGTTTGTCACGAAACAGGATAAGTGTTCCCTGACGCGGGTCTTAGTCATATGATGACCCGCAGCTGGAGCTTTTGGTCATATGACCGAGGCCTTCCACCCCTTAAAAAAACGTAGTTATAATTATAACCATTAAATACTAAAAATCACACTTCTGGTGATCCTATATTGTTATAGTGATGATACCAACGACAGACTACTGTTATATGAACTCTTTTCTCTACTTCTTTTAACGCAGAGATTTGATAGGTATTTCATAAGTGTATCCATCACCCAAGCAGTTTATTAAATGATTATTGTATTACTTATCAGAACACATGAAGGAGGACACTCTTGAGGTTACCTTATACTTTTTTCAATATCTTAAGATTATTTAATTTTTAAAAGGGGGACTTTATTAAAGTAAGTACAAAAAAAGGACCCCAAAGGCCCTTTGGGTTTTTGACTTTTTTAGGAAAGGGAAAAATTACTCTTATGTGCAAGTTTCCTTACACGTGCTTTTGCAACCTTTATTAAATTAAAATTTAAACCAAAACGAAAAATTGGGTGTTTCCCACGCATTCCAGGGAAGAGGGCCCAAAAACACCCTTGAAAATAAGTCAGTGGGTTAGGGTTTATTGTGTTTTCCCTTGGGTTTTCAAGCCTTGGAATAAAAACAATAAGAAAAACCTTGACTGTTTTTGGGTTTTAGAAGCTGTATTGGCGGGCTGCCATACCTGGGTATGTGGATCTTTTGCTTAGTGGTGGGGCCCCGCGGGGGACACACTAAGAAAAAAGGGGCCCCCTCTCCCCCCAAACTGTCAGGGAAAGGGCGCCCCAAAAACCCCTTTGGTAAGGGCTTACGGGGGTGTCTCTCACACATCTAAAAATTTTCCAATAAACCAGGGAAATTCCCCCACTACACCCGAACTTCCACCTAAAAACCCCAAAAACCCTTTAAACATAAAACCAGAAATTTTCACACTAAAAACCAAAAAACTTCTCACACTTTCACCAAAATTCTCAAAACTACACCAAAAACTTCCCCACACTACACCAGAACATCTCACAACCCAAACCTCTCCAAATACAACCCGAACTTCTTTTTTTTACACCAGGACCTCTCAACTACACCGGAAAATTTTTAAAAAAAAACATAGGACCTCTCACACTACAAAAAAAAACCCTTTTAAAATTTCAAACCAAACCCTTTTTACCCCTACACCAGGGGCCTCTTTCAATACCCCCAAAACCTCCCCACACTTAAACCCGGACCTCTTTCACAAAACCCAAAAAATCTCACATACACCCGGACCCTTACATTAAAAACCAGGGGCCTCTAACCCTACAAAGGAAAGGGCCTCTTTACAATTTCCTAAACCTCTCACACTACCCAGGACCTCTTTAAAAAAACCAAAAACCTCTCCAAAAATACCCGGGGCCTTTTACACTACCCAGGACCTTTTTTATAAAACCAAATCTCCACTCACAGGACCTTTAATAAAACCAAAACCTTCACAGTCACCAGGACCACTTACATCACCAAAACCTTACACTACCCAGAACCTCTCAACTACACCCAAACCCCCTTAATACCCAAAACCTCTTACAACACGATGACCTCTTTTAATAACCCGGGCCTTTTAAAACCCAAAATTAAAATAAACCCGGACTTTAATTACACAAATTCCCCATACACGAAACCCCTTTATATACCCCCAAAAACTTTAAACACAAAACCCCTTTTTTACCAAACTCTCACATTTTAACAAACCCTTTACATACCAAAAAACCCCTTTTTTTTACCCAAAACCCCTTAACTAACCCGAACCTCTTAACTACACCAAAACCCCTTAATTTCCCCGAACCCCCATACTAAAACCCGAAAAATCTTAACTACACCCCCTTCATACACCAAAATTACACTAAAAAGAACCCCTTTACCTACCAAAACCCCTTAAATTCACCCGAACCCCTTTAACTAAAGAACCTTCATATAACCCGAACCTTCCTACACCGAACCTTTTTATCACCGAACCTCTCCCTTTTACCCAAAATTCCCCAGTAAGAGAACCCTATATACACCGAACCCCTTATATACAAGAATTACACTACACCAGAACCCCTTTCCACTAAACCGAACCTTCAATACACCAGAAAACCCCCCAATAAAGAATTCATTTTTAAAAAACCCTTTACACTAAAAAGAACCTCTTAATAACCAAAAACCACCGCCCTTACACTCACCAAACCTCTACAACACCAGAACCCCTCCCCTAACCAGAACCTCTCACACTGCCCCCGAGCCTTATACACACCAGAACCCTTTATTACACCAAAAAAATTCCATCCCCGAAACCCCCCATACACCAGAACCCCTTTAATACAAAAACCCTATTACAGAGAAACCCCCCCCTCTACTACCCCTCTCATACTACGCCAAAAAACCTCCCACT